AGGAGGGCACCGGGTGTCCATTATGGACATCCCTACGGGTACGCAGCATTTTCTGGAATAAAGATTAATGGACACCCGTATGGGTACACAGCATTTTCCGAAATAAAGACATAGAGTTTGACTCGCTTTTTCTATATTTATTTATATTGATGCCATACTCCATCCATTTAAATAGAATATTGTTGGAAGTGGACCTTTGTGATTATGCATAGAATTGAAAACTTATAATCTTCTTGTTGAATTACGTCTCTTATTTTGACATGGTATTATATTGTGTCCCCAAAGGATGTAGTTATTGCTAAACCTAGGTTAGTGACTCTCTTGTTCACTTCTATTAAATATTACTTTCAATTTGCTTGATTATATTCGTATTATGTGTTGATATATGAAAATTACTTCTTGTTTAATGTGGAATTGGATCAGTGTGACCTTGCTGGTCCTTGGTATTCTCTGTGTATATACATCAGAGTAGTAGCTTATAACCAATTAATGATTATATGCAGTTTTTCATTGCTCTGCATCTATTCAATCTGTTGATGTTGTTTTGGCTACTTCTTACAACTTAAATAATTTGCAATTAATATCAAAGAACGAGAGGATCGAAGATACCAATAGCAGGAAGAACCAATGAAGTAAATATGAATAGTAAAGTTGCAGGGACAGAGGAAAGAGAAATCTATAACTTTTCTAGAATAATTTTCTTCTTTTTTCTTACTCTTACATGGTACTTTTCAATTCATAAATAAAGTAGACTTTTAGCATCGTTCAATATTACACCTCAGCTCTACACTTTCGTACTTGTACAATCATTATATTTGACTTTTCTATTCAAACACAACCTTAACAAATGTTATTTAGCATAAGATTCTTCATTTTATTATCGTTCTTTATTGCTTCGTCATTGTTCTAGAAGACTGGATTGTGATTTTAAGTACAATGGCAGCATATATCATTCCTTGTTCGTGCAAAAACAGGTAAATGGAAAAAAAGAAAAAGGTGAAATAGTCTGTAGGATTGTATTTAATTATGATTTCATGAAAATAAAGGTTATGAAATATATAAGTTGCGAAAATATTTAGTTATAATTTAAAAAAAAAAAACTTATTTAGTTATTTTGTTGCTAGAGATGCAGAAGATCACATATCTTGGCTCCTTCAACATGGATGGCATGAGAAAGCCTTAGAAGCGGTTGAAGCTGGGAAGGGACGCAGTGAGCTTGTTGATGAGGTAGTATGTTTGATCGCATTTTTGGTGATCATTCTTTGGTCATGCTTTCATTTTTCTTTATCGTATTTTCGTATTCATTCGCTATGCATTTTGTAGACAATAAATTGATTGCTATTAAATTTTTTCAGTGTAAGGTCTAAATATTATTGTATGCTTATATCAAAATGATTCTTAGCAGACTGATTTTATGTTTTGATTGAACAACCATGATTCGAGTAGTGTCATAAATTTGACTCTTAGTTTCCTGGAAATGTAGTTTGTAATAATGTCTACACTCATATGCTAAAAAGTAAAACACTTACGAATGGCTTCCTGAAGCGAGTGTGGTAATCATCTAGGCTTACTTATTTGCCTTTTTTACACAAGGATGTGCCTTACGTTGGAAATTATGTGACTAAGACAACCAGAGTGACTGGAAAATGATCTACAGTGAAATTATTTTTAATGTTTCTAAGGGTGTCAAATGGCACCCACAAATTTTCAAGATCATTTATTTTCTACTGATTTGGTTCAAATTTCTGACTCATGAAGAATAGTTACCGTTCAACAAACTAAGGTGCTCATTAAATTTGGGGTCTGCTTTTATGTTTATGTTGAGCTTGAATTGCATGCTTCTTTCTCGTTGACAAATGAAACTGTTAACCGAACACCTCATATTTAGAAGGAATTCCATCAAATTGAAAATTTTCAAGAAATAATAAAGTCTATACAATTTTATCTTGTACTAGAATCCTGGTAGTTGTACTTCTGCTTTCGTGAAGCTTCAATTGGAATAAGAAGAAGACAAATAATTCATACCAGAGATTATGTTTGATTCTTAGATTTTTGGAATTTAGTCAAAGCTTTTTATGCAGATTAGAAATGTGTGTCTATGTTATCACTCTTGATAGAGATATCGTTGACTTGTAAAAAAATATTTTAGATTTGATATGATAGATTGTGCAGAATTATCTTGTTCATTTTAAACTCACTGGACCTTCCAAGTTTTATAATTTACACGTGAGCAGCTACTTCCTGACGTATTCTTGAAAATATAAATTCTGATGTAGTTAACTCTAAATAGGTGGGATCCAGATATCTAGACCATCTAATTGTGGAACGCAAATATGCTGAAGCTGCCTCATTATGTCCTAAATTGTTGCGAGGGTCGGCTTCTGCATGGGAAAGGTACTTTTCGTGTGTGCGCTTGTGTGTGTATGTATGAATGTGTAATGTGTGTATATGAGCTTTGCAGCTTGTTTTGGTAACTGAAGGATAATTATTTGCAGATGGGTCTTCCATTTTGCTCATCTTCGTCAGCTTCCTGTATTAGTTCCATACATGCCAACAGAAAATCCAAGATTACGTGATACTGCTTATGAGGTCTGTAATGCTTAATATTGTCTGCGGACTCACCTGATGCATCTTTTTTTTTTTCTTGATATGTGAAACTGGGAGTTGAAGCCTGAATTGTTTTGTGACTCTAGGTTGCCCTTGTTGCTTTGGCAACAAACCCATACTTTCATAAGGATCTTCTATCAACTGTTAAATCTTGGCCGCCTGTAATTTATTCGGTTTTGCCCGTTATCTCTGCTATAGAACCTCAGCTTAGCACATCGTCAATGACTGATGCACTTAAAGAGGTCAGCACTGAGAAAATTTTATCTGTCTCATGCATATGATTCTTGCTATTTACAGTGTTACATACATGTCAGGCTCTAGCCCAGCTATATGTGATTGACGGACAACACGAGAAAGCTTTTGCCCTCTATGCTGATGTAAGTCAGTTCATGACTTATTTGATTACTATCACGCCTAACTAAATGCATCCATTATGTGCCGAGGATGCTTTGCCTACTTTATGTTTTGTGGACTTATTGCTTTCTCTGCTACAATTGTTTTTGTGTGTTCAGCTTATGAAGCCGGATGTATTTTGCTTCATTGAAAAACACAATTTACATGACGCAATTCGTGAAAAGGTAATTCCTAAATTTCATTTGGAAGACTGAGCTATTATTACGTATGTTTTGCATATCTAAAGAATAAAGTCTCATTCTTTTTCATTTTTGGATTAGAGACCCCTTGTCCTCAAGTTTTGTATATTCTTTATCTCATCAATAAAATCCCAATAAAAAAAAAAGAATTCACGTCTTCATGTTGATTAAGTCATCATGAATTTGTCATTGACTCACGTGCGTTTGCAGGTTGCCCAACTTATGATGATAGACTGCAAACGTGCAATTCCATTGTTGATCCAGCATAGAGATCTAATTAGTCCACAGGATGTTGTGTCACAACTTATGGCTGCAAATAATACGTTTGACTTCCGATACTTTTTGCATCTGTATCTGCATTCACTATTTGAGTCATATCCAGATGCTGGAAAGGATTTTCATGACATGCAGGTTTGTAGAAATTAGCCAACTTTCTTTTTTCAACTCTTTTAGGGTGGTAACCATCTAAACTTGCTTGGAAATGGCTTATCATTAAATCTCGTGTTGTAAATCTTAAAGGTCAATTAATTAAGGAAAGGACTGTATTCATATGAAAATCATACGCATCCTTTTGCCTTTAGCTTTTTATTCAAAATTGAAAGGCAACAAAAACTAAAGGCAACTAGGGATCAGGTTGAATACCTGTGCAAGTGGTTGACTAAATTGGTCTGGTTAATTGACATTTTTGAATTATGATAAATACTGCACGCAGCATTCTGTTGCAGAGTGAGTTTTCTTGTTTTCTGAGGAATTTAGGCTTTTAACTTAATAGACACTTACTTGAGCAATTTTTTTGTGTATCGGTCTCCTCTCTAATGTCTATCCCCTCAAATTCTCCGACTTGTAAATCAAACCCATTAATTTGTGTGGTACTGTTTTTGTCGATTTCATGCCGATCTACATTAGCATCTACAATTAAAAAATTGAGTGGAAGTGTTATGGAGAGGATATGTCCTTGATATGATGTTGACTTGGTTGTTCAGTCAAATAGCGCAGCAACTCCGTAAGAACGAGATAAAGAAAGTTTTCTTTTATTTTGGTTCTCAACAGCCTCCATCTAAATATGTCCGGAAACAGCTTGTCTTGTACTTTCTTATTAATATTATCAAACAGGATATGTTGTGTTAACTTTTTTTTTTCTATTTGTTTTGGTGATTTTTCATCAGGTTGAGCTCTATGCTGATTACGATACAAAAATGCTGCTTCCATTTCTTCGTAGTAGTCAGCATTATACACTGGAAAAGGTTTGTTCTATGAGTGGGTGATTCTTCTTAATCTTCCATCACCTGTCATCTCTAAAACTTCGTGAGATTTTATCTCAGGCATATGACATTTGTGTCAAAAGAGATTTATTGAGAGAGCAAGTATTTATCCTTGGAAGGATGGGAAACTCAAAGCAAGCCCTATCAGTAATTATTAATAAATTGGGGGATATTGAAGAGGTGCCTTTCTTTGCTCCCATTGTTTAATTAATTTCGGCTTTTCTGCTCTGAAATTGCTTGGTGAGAGAACATATATCATTATTGTGCAGGCTATTGAGTTTGTAAGTATGCAACATGATGATGATCTCTGGGAAGAGCTGATTAAGCAATGCCTGAATAAACCTGAGATGGTAAGCTGTGGACTCTTAATGCTAATCGATTACAATTGCAAAAGCATTATTACCACATTTTTTAATTTTTTTTTTTTAGCTGGTTTAATTTTTACTCACTGGCAGGTTGGGGTATTGTTGGAGCATACTGTTGGCAATCTTGATCCCCTATATATTGTAAATATGGTGCCAAATGGCTTGGAGATTCCTCGGTAAGTATGCTATCTACTTTTTTTTTGTATCGTTCTCGTAGTCAACTTGCACGACTTCTTTTTCTTCAATTATATGAACAGTTTTCCATGTCGAATGTCATGTGGATGAAAAACATTTTGGGTTTTCTGTTGGATTTTGTTGCTTTACCCAGGTTGACATGTCAATTGCCTTTTTATTCAGTCGTTCGCCTGGGTCATAAAGTCAAAGGTTCAAAATGCCAAAATGTTGTCAAGTTTTCGTTTTTGGTTCGTAACATGATCCTTTACTTTGTGTGGTACTACAATACCGTTACATTGTACCTGCAAAGTCTGAAATTAGCTTGGAAAGAATCAAACCATACATTTCATGATTGCTCTTGCTTTTATCGACTCATCCGTGAGGCCTGATGTAAGGTGTTTTTAAGTCATATATGGTGGGAAAATCAAAAAGTGCTTTTACTAGCTATCACTATTTGCTATGTGGATCAAGATACCTGAAATTGTCCTATTTCGTGGTACTGTTATAACACTTAGATGCTGTTTTGATTTGACCTATGGACGAGTATGCAAGTGCGATGGACCTATTACTCTTATGTGTCCAAATTCTTCAGTTCAATTCTGTAGTATTTTCTTGGCACAGTAGTTGTGACTTATGGATTATGCACTACCACCAAAAATGTTGCAGTTTCCTTTAGCTTGCTCAATTGTAAACTCATTCCTTCTCAGATTGAGGGATCGTCTAGTCAAAATCATCACAGACTATAGGACAGAAACTTCTCTTAGAAACAGGTGCAATGATATACTCAAGGTAATTTCTCGCCCATAAATACTTCTGATACGATTTGATAATGATAATTACTAGATAGTTCACTATTACTTGCAGGCCGATTGTGTTAATCTGTTAATCAAATATTACAAAGAAGCAAGACGAGCTATATGCTTGAGCAATGAAGAAGACGATGCACGTAGTAAAAGGGACAAAAACTGGGCTTCTCAGTTTGCAGAGAAATCTTTGAGCATGAAGAGCATGGAGGTCAAGTCGAAAACACGTGGTGGCGCTAGATGCTGTGTGTGTTTCGACCCATTTTCTATACAAAACGTGTCAGTTATAGCTTTCTTTTGCTGTCATGCATATCACAAAACATGTCTTGTGGATTCCACCATTTCCATTACTCAGCAACAAAAGAAGCCACCAACCCCTACCAAGTCCTCGGATGAATTATCGTATTACGAATATGATAATGGCGATGCTGAGGATGATGAGGAAGAGGATACTTCTTCAGGATCTCCTAAAATGCGTTGCATCTTGTGCACTACTGCTGCAGGTTGAGCTTCCTGTGTACACAGTGGTCTTCGGCGTGGCGTGCGCGTATACGAGGGAGGGATTTGTAAGCTATTTCTTTGTTGTTCTTGTGTGGGCAAAAGGCCTTTGTATTTTTGTATATTAATTGCTGATGTTTTTCGTGGGCTGCATATGACCTTATATGATATTATGGTCATAGAGAATTTTAGGAATGGCTACATTTTGTGGTGAAAGCAGCCCACCCATCCCCAAAAAAATAAAAAATAAAAAATTCAGAGAGTCGGTTTTATGGTTTACATTTAGAGATGTTTTTATATACAGTTTGCATTCAGTTCAAGCCTTTTTTGCACCTTCTGATCAATTTGAAGAATATATGTGGATCCTTCCACCCCTTTTTGCATAAATAATGAATTTTTTTTATTGTACTTCTAATTTTTGCATTCATATTTTTGTATCAATGTGGAAGTGCATGAGAACATAATAGGATATTAACTACGGCTTCGATTAATCCAAAATAATAGAAAAAACACGTGCCTAGTCAAAATTCTTCTCATATTTACTTTGTAAAATATTGCTTTCAGCATGTTTCATTTTGGATTCGGTAGCAGTACGTAAAATATTGAAGGTGGAAAAGATACTGAAGATTTGTTCTTTATATTGTTAAATCTTGTTTAGCCGCTGTTTGATGGTCATTATTCTTAAAAAATAATATTTTAAATAGTAATTTTTAGGAGAATGTGCAGTTAAAAAATATGGAAAAAAAATTAGGTTTATGTGCAAAATTGTTTGCTGCATGAATATGTAGTTGAAAATGAGCATGTAGAAACAAGAGTTCAAATAATTGATCGTTTTTCATTTAAGAGAAGAGTCGAGGTTTACAAATATTATAAAGATAAAACGTGGAAGCTTCTTATTTTTGGACTCCTAGGATATAGCCTTTGGGGATTTCTATTTGTTTGTACTGAAAGTCTTGAAACTTTTTATGAAAACCTACACAAAAATTTAAAAAAAAAAAAAAAGTGACCAATTGATTACTCTAGTTATAACATTTATACACGCGGGTAAACTTGTTTATTAATATTTTTATCTTTAAAAAGTCAATCTTATCGATGGGAGTAGCCTAAATTTTTAATATTGTCGTTCTTAATATTTTTATATATAGATAAACTCATTTATTAAGATTTAAAATTGTTTCTTATCAGGTTATCATTGTCAAGAGGTGTAGCGTAAACCTTGTAATGACTCGTTTGAATACGTCAATATTGAAATTTTGAGTTTAATGGACTTTTATACCATGATCGTTAAATTATTCTTGCCTATGTGCACTCGTAAATTGATTTCATAAACCAATAAATATTGAACAATTTGAAATTAGCACACAATCAAAGTGATAAACTGATTAAACAACCAAAGAGTCAGAAAAATATCATATAACGGAAATTCTAGTAAAAAAGATAATAGAATTAAATATAAGAAAACTTCTTAAAACAAAAACATTATAACATTTTCTTTGTAAAATAAGTGTTCAATCTTGATAATTTTCAAACAAAATGGAAGGAGTAATGCATGAAGTAATGTTATTGATGTAATTAAGAAGATTATAAGGGCATTGTTGACCCAAAAAAAATATACGTATAAAATTGACAACAGAATGTTTGTCACCTATTCACGCTTTTATATGTTGCAGATATAGACGCGGATATGTATATCTTCTCGAGTTTATATCATGGAGAATTTAAAAGTGGAAAGAATTATGATCACCCATTAAAAGTTCTCGACTCCAATAAAATCGTGAGGAATCGAATATCTTAAGGATCTACTCCAATATTTGAAAATTGTTTAGCCCCTATTTGGCGTAGATTAAACTTAGATTCTTAGTAGATTTTGATAAAAGTTGATGGAATATATGATTGAGAAATTGTGAATTCCATTAAATGTGATTAAAATTAACTGTTGACTTTGACTTGAAAGTTTTATCAACTTTTAATCTACACCAAACATATCCTTAACCGGAATCACGACTTAAGATCGCAAATTTATTTTCTAAATAGGTATTTTCATGTTGGATGATCCCGGCCGATTGCATTCATTCCTTTTTTACCCCCATGTACCCCGACCGTGTAACATTGAGATGTAAAAAGGGGATCCTAATAAACTTGGTTTTGCGTCAACTTTCAAAAACGAAAGGAAACTTCTTCAACTTTAACTTAAATGCAACTCCCTTCTTTTTGTTTCGAGTATCACGTTTTATAAATTTTTATTGGACTCAATCGAGTCTAACATAAAGCTAAAGCACTTCCCATTTCTCTCTTCCAGCAAGTGCCATTTAAAAATGATCATGAGAATCAAGTCAACCACTATAATTTAAATAAAGTGTATCCACTAACCTCAATATATTGCATGTCATTATATTTCGTTTGACCTAAAAAATGTCAAGTTGCACGAGTAGTTTTTAGCATACTTCCGCACGAAACACTACCAATATTTGAAGCAACTTGAAAACCCTGTTAATAAAGATTTTATATGGATATTAGTTTGAATGATTATTTACACTTTTATTGCGTGAAATGTTGCACGTTTGACTTCAAAAGTAGCTACTTTTACATTCAAAGTTCGACTTTATTTATTTATTTATTTATTTAATTTGTTAAATTGTTTTTCTTTGAATAAATCATAGGGTGCTAGAAGTCATTAGAAAGTGTCTTTTCTGTCACTCCACCTTATGTTTAGGAAAATGTTATTTGTACAATCGAGGATGACAACTTCTCATATGCGTGTGGGGTCCACATGTTTAAACAATTCAAATGAAAAAGGAGCGGACTCCCATGTGAGTGGTTGTCAACCTCAGTTGTACAACTAGCATGATCGACGCTCTTTATTGGCAAGTTCATTGCATATATTTGTTAGTTCATATTTCGAAACCAGTATTTATTCATTAAGATGAAATTATAGGATGTTGGTCAATTCATATTCATTTGGTACACACAAAGTATATTAACAAAAAAATTACTTCTTTTTCTTCTTTATTCACACTTAGCTCGAATTAAAATCTAAATTTTAATCTAAATCAAAATCAACTATTAATTGTAATCATATATTTTATGGAATCCACAATTTTTAACCACACAATTTATCAACTTTTATCAAAATCTGCTAAAAATATGATTTAATTCTCACCAAACAAGGGCTCATTTCTATTTGGTTCCATTTTTTTAAAATTCATTCCCCTCCCTCACAAAATTCTTTTTATTCATACATTTTATGAGATCCACGACTTTTTAACCACACATCTTATCAATTTTTATCAAAACATACTCGAAACTCCAATCTTTAACCGAACTAAATAGGGGCTTAATTCTTTCAAGTTTGATATGATAAAAGCAACAATGGTTGCAGGGTTTCATTGTTTGGACATCGAACCACCAAGACAATCCTAGATGGTTGATCCAGCAAAGAAACAAAGAGGTTGAAATTATTAATGAATGGATTACAAAGTATTATGCTGGCCTATGGTCTTGAAAAAATAAAAAGAGAATTGTAACGCCCCGAATTCAAATAAATCAGCTCCTTACCATGCACGAGTTCTTTAACGTTAATCTAGGAGATTAAAGAAAGTTTTTAAATTAGAATTCATTTAATCAAACTATATAATCATAACATTCTTTTTAACATATAAATTTAGAAAAATACGAAAAAATAATTTGGAATGAATTTTTTAAAAAAGAAAAGCAAACTGAAACAGTTTTCTACAGTTGCATAGTGAGTTTCTAAAAATTATTTGACCTAGCAAGTCTTGACAAAAATTTATGAAATTTTACAGAAAGGTATAAAACTCATATAAATTCGGGATCTCGACGACAACGTTTGAAGCACGAAATTATTTTTCAATCAAGCTGGTCGGTGTTTGACTGTCACAATTTACTAAAATTGCTATAATAAATTTTATAGGACTCTGATCGACCTGTTTTCAGCTGCATATGATAGATAACTCACAAGGGATCAATTTCTAGTTAAAAACATACTAAAATTCTAAATATACCGACCATATTACAATTTTAAAAACAGTGGCAGAATGCTGGGATTTACTAAATACATGTTCAAATGTTAAAATTTTTCATCTCAAACCATGGATTTAAACTACAATTTCTGGAACACCCCAATGATTGTTAAACATAAAAGTGGCAATCTAAAACATAAGAAATAAATTTCTCTAAAAATTTCATTTGCCATTCATGCCAAGCCGCTGCAAAATCTCTGATTACTCTGAAAATGTTAAATAAGAGTGAGCATATCAAAAAATACTGTAAGATATACATGTTATAAGAACATAATAATCATTTAATTATGCATCCTTACATATTGTCTTCATAAAGAAACAAATCGATGATCAAACGATCAGTTATGACGAGCCTCTACGGCCATCAGTTAAATATATAATCTCCATGACATTGACATTTAAGAAGAACTATTAAAGGCACTTCACATATTTCATGAGCAAACATAATGAATAACACGTATAAATGAAAATTAAATTCATATAACGATCAATTTAGTGTAAAGATTCTACCTTAGCTCGTGGTGATGAGGAAATGTCTATATTGAATCGAATTCCTTTGTAATTGAATATTAAAAATGACCAACACATAAGAATCAGTTGGCCTATGATATTACTGATGAATTGTTGTTAAATGGCGTGTATAGGAAGCTGTGGTATACAATTTGATGTCCAATTGGATTAATAATCGCATTAATCCTTATCAACTAACAACATAAACTAGCTTTAATTAATATATAATAGCATCTTAATTTTATTGAAATCTTCACGTGAGTTAGAATCTAGGATTAAGTCAAATGGTTCCTAGCTAGAACAATTTGAAGTCTATCATAAGAAAGCTAACTGGCTGAAAAATTGGATAAAGATTGAATTCAAATAACATAATTTTATTTTTATAATTTGAATATATTAATAAATAGTTCCTTAGTCAAACAAACTATATACGTGAATTAGCTGGAAATAATTTAACTTATCAAGTGGCTGCCAAAACTAGTTAATTGCTTGATTAACTTTAATTAAATAGAACTCCATTTGAACTAAAATAACTTAGGAATAACTTATCCGAAATAATTTCTTCTTGATTCCAAAATGCGTTGTTTAATACTAGCAACAAAGAGCCCAATATTAAATGGGAAATTTTTGCTAAAATAGTACTTGATTATTTGAGCGAATAAAAATATTGACGTCAAACTTATTTTCGTATTAGTCTCTCAGCATCCTTCAATTAAAAAAAAAAAAAAAAAGTACCAATATAAAATAAACCAAATTTTGTTTTCGTTTGCTAAAGAAATTGTAATGCTTCCATTTTAAATTTGCAGTCTAAAATTCAATTAAAAAATTACCATTTTTAGTGTAAAAATGTGAAATAAATTCTTTTATTTATGTTTTGATTGAAGTACATACTATTTAATATTTGGTATATTCAATTTACTTAGAAAAGAAGGGGGGCGGTGCAAATATATGATGGGTTCCTTCTCACAAGGAAGCTCTATGGTGCAAAATAAGTGATTTGGTACCCCTTCGGGGGTGGCCGAGTTGGTGGAGTAGGTGAACGCGGAAACCAAAAGTTACGAATTCGAATTCCCTGTCAACACTTCCTCAATCGAGCCCGTTGCACCGGACTTGTCTAGTGTAGTTTAGTAAATTCTTTAAATTTAATTTCTTTAGCAGTATGATTGTATTGCGTAAGAATATACGACTTTTATTATACGACAGTTTGTAACCCTATAAATAGGATTGTTCTCTTTTGTAATATTTATAGTAAACAATTAATATAAGCCATAAATTATTGCATTCATATCATGTCTAAAATATATTAGTACAGAACCTTTTTTTTAAGCGAAACAACCTTGAAACATAGGCGAGCTTTTAGGCCTACACCTAAATATCTAATGGGGATATTTGCAATTCCAAATATGTTTCCAAAATAATCCCACTCCTTGAGTAATTTCACAAGAGATAAATAGTGTTAGCAATGGGACAAGTCTGGAGCAGGAAGACCATTCCAGCCCCATCCTATGCCCGCTTAAGACAGGATGGGTCCAAATTCAGGGGCAGGACGAGACATTCATTTGTCCTGTTTACTACCTTGTTTAATATTTACTATATGTTACTTGTTTTTCTTTAAAATTTAGCTTTTTTTTTGTTTAGAATTTTTTTTTTTTTTTTCATCCATAGAGATAAAGCGGTGTTGGAGGGTTTCCATGGCAATATTGCAATCAACATTTAGAGGCTCAATGTAGTCTCATCCTCGCTTGAATTACACTATTAATTGGAATCCGTTCATGCCATAATTTTCAGCAGAAGAAGTTGAGCTTTTTCTTTTTGTATTGAATGACGGCATATGAAGTTTAAAGATGTTCGTTTAGTATTGAAGTCCCTTGATAGAATTCCATATTTCCATAGTATAGAAATTCCCATCCATTGAATCCTTCCAAATAAAGGCATCGGTGAAATATCGTGTCGAGGACATGTTTTAAAGTTGCCTTGACTAGAGAATTTTTGAGAGAAAAAGTAAAAACTTAAACTTCATGCTATTCTTCTAGAAATAAAATATTCTAACCGTTCAATTTTCATTACATCTCTATCATTCACTTAGTCGTGAATAATACTCGTTTTTTTTTTTTTTTGGTTGAATCACCCAATTCAAAATACCTTTCTATGTGAATGGTCCAATACACACTACTTTTTCCTCGTGCAAACGTTTAGAATTATTAGAACCCATTTGTGATGCTGGAATTGGTTGAGTATAGTGAGGGTATGATTGTCCCAAATTTAGGAAAATGATGGGTCATTTCTTGGTTGACTAACTCAATTCCCACCCAATTTCTTGTTCACACTCATGTCTTCTATGTTTTGAGAAATCCACTATATAGTAGATGATAAAAGATGAGAACTTTGAACAAAAAATAGTAGGACAAATAGATTCTCCCTTTTAGAAGTGGTTGCCATTGCTCAAAAACCATCTTTTTTTAATAGGTGTTGTTGCGGTCAAAGTTTATCGGGATGTTAACTCAAAAGTATTGAAAAATGAATTATGAGAATCTCAATTTGTGCCTATCGAAAGAAGAGTGGAAAATTCCCTAAGGGACATTTTGATGAATATTTAGGAGTGTATATTAATGAATAAAATTTGTAGAGGAATATTTAGGAGTGTATATTTTGTGACTCTTAGATTGTACCTAAAAGTTTATAGGATATTTTAAAAGAGTTCATTCTATCATCTCCATACTAATGTAAGATGATGGTAGGCAAAATTGAATAATCAATTTTTAATTATACAACCTTAGGACATATATGTCTTTATTATTACTTTTGAACAATTTAATTTGATTAACAAAATTTTTAAAGTTAATTCTTTTAACAATAAAACAAAAGGTAACTTTTAAGCACGACTAAATATGCTCTAATAAATAAAAAAAGAAAAGAAAAATCTAAAGGAAAATTTTGTTGTAAAGAGTTAAGAAAAGAAAATCTATAAAACAAAAGAGAAAGGAAAGAATTGAATTTAAAATGAAAAAGACCAAGGAAAGAAAATACAAGAAAAGATGGAAAATTTCCATTCGGATGAATTTCAATATTTAATTATTCATAATTTCATATTAAGGAAGAATTTAAGAAAAAAGTAGGGAGAGTAAATAAGAAAATATTTTGAAATTTGAAAATAATTGACTCTCTCTCCTTTGCGATTAGGGAACAAAGCTCTTACCTAGTCATCACTGCTAGATTTAAGGTTATATTTATATGTTTTTTAGAATCTCTATATATATACACACCTGCAGAATACAGACATGGAACAAACTTAAAGGATCAAGATGGAAGATAGGAGAAGAACTCCATCAAAATCTTGTAAACTTTCCTTTCAAGTGTACCCTCTTTTGCTTCTTCTTCCATTGATCTTCTTGAAATCTGTATCTGCAGTACCATATAAAATTCCAAGGCTCACTCCACATATAAGAACACTCTTAAGAAACCCTGATAGTAATTTATCTTCTTCTTCTTTACTTTCGAAGGATTTCAAAACATATTCGTACACGCAAATTCTTGATCACTTCAACTATGGACCCCAAAGTTACTCCACCTTCAAACAAAGATATGTAATCAATTTCAAATACTGGGGTGGAGGAAATTCAAGCTTTCCAATCTTTGCATATCTTGGTGCAGAAGCACCATTGGATGAAGATCTACTAAGTGTTGGTTATCTAACTGCAAATGCCCCTCGTTTCAAGGCTCTTCAAGTATACATAGAGGTAATATATGTGGGAAATGTTCGGTACGTTGTGCCAATCAGTATTTTGAACAAGATTTCAATCTCTTTTGATACATTAATATGGCCATTAATCAAAAATAACGAAGAAAAAGAAGCTAAAATTTTTCGAGCAAGATTATAGGACACTACTATATACATATGTCTACTGTTTGTTATGTTGTTTTCGACGATAAAATGAATATTATTCTAACTTAATTTTCTTTTCTGAAGCATCGGTATTATGGAAAATCAATCCCATTTGGATCAATGGAAGAAGCCATGAAAAATGAGAGCATTAGAGGATATTTCAACTCAGCTCAAGCTATAGCTGATTATGCAGAGGTGCTATTGCACATAAAGGAAAAGCTTTCAGCTCAGAATTCACCCATTATTGTGATTGGAGGATCATATGGAGGAAGTAGGCAAATCATGAATTAATCAATACTATAATCCATTTATTTAATTAATTAATTACAACTTTTGAGTCTTGTTAAATTTGTTGTAAATTTACTTATAATTCAAATTATATTATTATTTTCAGTGCTGGCTTCATGGTTTAGGCTCAAATATCCACACGTTGCTCTTGGTGCTTTAGCCTCATCAGCCCCTATTCTTTACTTTGATAATATAACTCCACAAAATGGATATTACTCAAAAGTAACTGAGGATTTCGAGGTATTAATACATCAAAAAAATCCCACTTATTTTGAAAAATTTTCAAGAGAGAAATTATAAAGCGTCCTTTTCATTTTTTTTTTTTTTTTTTAATCGCAGGAGGTTAGCAAGAGTTGTTACAAAACTATTCGAAAATCATGGTCAGAAATTGACGAAGTCGCTTCCAAGCCAAATGGCCTCTCCATTCTCAGTAAAAAATTCAAGACTTGCGGGTATCTTTTTAATTTTTTTATTTCTCTTTATTCTTTCTAACTTCACTACTCAAAAGTTTTGAGAATTAGGGTTCCTTTTTTTTTTTTTTTTTTTTGGGGTTAAAAAGTAGAAAAAAATTTGAATTTATGTACAAAATTTTNGGTCTAAACATGAAATTTATTTATTTTCAGGCATTTAAACAGTTCTAGTGAGTTAAAGGATTATTTGGACTCAATGTACTCAGTGGCAGCACAATATAATGCGCCACCAGATTATCCAGTAACAGTGGTTTGCAGTGGAATTGATGGAGCACCCAACGGAACTGATATCCTTGGCCGGATTTTTGCCGGCGTAGTCGCATTTGAAAGTAATAGGTCATGCTATGATACAAATGAATACATCTCTCCAAGTGAAACAACCGTGGGATGGAGATGGCAAGTACGTTTATTTACCTACAATAACTCAACACTAATATATTATTTTTTTGTTACGTACGACTTCATAAACCAACATCATACTTAATATTTAGTCTATATGGAATCGTCATTTTTCTTACGGAAATTGCTGATCGGCAACTGCTCAACTGTTCGAGCGTAATGCCTGGTTCCCATTGGACCTCACAATATATATACATAGATATAGTCTCGGGTGACTCTATAATGTAAGATCTGACGTCATATACTATTAATTTATGTCAAGTTATTTCTTTCTATAGTGGATAAGTAACACATTGTATCACACTCACTCGAAAAATTTGTTATTGAAGATGACTTTTAGATTGAATGCAACGTATTTGACCTAACGTAAAGAAATTTGTGCTTAACTAACCATCTAATATTCATTTATTTGAAATTTTGGCCCTTTTTTTCTTCTTTAGACTTGTAGTGAGATGGTGATGCCCATTGGAAGAGGAATAAATGATACAATGTTTCCATCTTCACCTTTCGACTTGCATCAATTTATCGCAAACTGCAAGAACTTATATGGTGTCCCACCTCGACCACATTGGGTTACAACTTATTTTGGAGGCCATGTATGTTGTTCTAACCATTTCCAACTTTTAATGATTAATTATAATTAATTATTTTTTAACAACATTTTTACTAGCTTCCGAGTTATGATAAATTTTCTTGTTAAATAATTTATTTGTTCCCAAATTTCAGGATATTAAATTGATTTTACGACGATTCGGGAGCAATATAATTTTCTCCAATGGTTTAAGAGATCCATACAGTACTGGAGGGTAAGAAGCGAAATCTATTTATTTTATCCTTAATTCATTGTTTTAAATATGAATATCATAATTTGATTTAATTAATTTGTTTTTGTTTGGTCAAAATCATAGGGTTCTTGAGGACATATCGAAAAGTGTCATTGCTATCACTACTGTTAATGGTATGTTCTTTATTATAGACATTGTCAATGCATGCAATGTTTCTACCATTTTTTAATCTATTTTAGGCATATCGACATCGTTCAGTAGAGGGTTTTGAGCTACGATGTTATATCAAGACTTGGAGTAATTTTTCTTAATTTTGCAGGGTCTCATTGTTTGGATATACTTCAACCACAGAAGAGTGATCCTAGCTGGTTAGTCGAGCAAAGGAAAAAAGAGGTTGAAATTATTGATGGATGGATGGCAAAGTATTACGCTGATCTTTTGGCATTGAAAAAAATAAAATAAAAAGAGAAAGAACAACTATTAATCTTTAAAGACTAGTGGCCAATGGTGAAGATTGTGGAAAGTGTAATGATTTTTGATGCATTTAATCCAACATTAGTGTTTTGATATAATCGATAAATTGTAAAGATGAAATATAAGTTTGTCACACCCTTAACAATTCTAGCTTAAATTGACAACATTTTTAAATAAATGAATCGACTAAAAAATAAAGCAGAAACAAATCGTAGAAGAAAATTGTTGTTGAAATGGTCGATGAAGGATTTTCCAAGTAATCAACGAAAAAAATTTGTTGGTATTTGTCTTATAAATTGGAAAAGATAATTCATTACTTATTTTATTTTAAAATTGATATATAATTTACTATATGTATACATACATTCTTTAGCAACAAGAAGAACGCATGTTCGAAATATTATATATATTTTTTGGTAGTGAGCTTAATGGTGTTCTACAATAAAGCCGTATTGAATGGTTGATACCCATATGAAAAGACACCTATATTTTTTTTTAGATAGCATTTTGGATGTCTCACCAAATGCCATCTTTTCCTAACCCTCTTTCTTATAAATTATTATCCCCCGTTTGATGGCCATTATAAAGAAAAATTCGAAGAAAATGATATTTTGAATAATGATTTTTTAGAGAGATGTAGTTTAAAAATTGGAAATTTTTTGAATTTACGTGCACAATATATATAAGAAATGGGTTTACTATTTTTTCTCAACAAATTCAGTCATGACTTCTTTTTTCGAAGAGAACGCTTCTATTAGATATTTTCTAATAAATTAGCATAAATATGAAGTACCACTTCTCATTTAAAATACATTTCTTTCATATTTATTTAGGTCCATGTTAATTTTAAAATGTAGGAAAATTTAATTTCATGTCACTCATTTTTCCAAACATAAGTTACTTTTTTTAACTATAACTTTTAAGCACAGGAACTTGTTCATTATCAGCAAAAGAAAATGCGGTTCCTGCTTGAAGAAGAAAATTATCTTGTGGAAAGGATGAATTATGGGGATTTATGTACCTACTGCGCATCTTCTCCTTAATAATTAATGCTGAATTCATCGATTTTCCAATTCAAAGTGCAAAGATAGCAATATATAGCAATAATTACTCTCCATATATATTCAAGATAGACAGTTCTCTATAATTAAAGCTCAAAATTACCTAATTAAAGATAGGACTGCACTACATGTACAGGAAAATATTCACAGGATCAATATAGGACGACGATTGTAATTGGCTAAGTCAAAAATTGTTTTTTGGCTTAGCCAATTACAAGGGGGACACTGTCCCCCTGTATTGACCCCGTAAATATTTCCCGCATACGAGGAGAACATCCCTTCAAAATAATTTCATACTATTTAGTTTTGCAAAAGATATGGATAATTAATGATCAAAGATGCCTTTCTTTATCTCTAAAGATAGAGCATTATAACCATTCAATAGTCGTTACATCTCTATCATTCTTTTAGCCAGTCTAAATGATCCCCATTTTGTTGGGTTACTCGATTTAAGATATGTACCTATTTGCTTGTGGTTAGAGAAGAGATAAGTAAATGGTCCAAGACTCCAATACCATCACTTTTTCCTCATGCAAACTTATAGAATTATTAGAAGCCATAGTGATGTTGGAATTGAGGTGGTAATGGTGGGCTAGTGAGGGTAAGATTTGTCCCAGTTTTGGGAAATGATTGGACATTTCTCAGTTGACTAACTCAATTGCCACCCATTTTCTTGTTTTCACTCAAGTCTTTCTTGTTTTAGAAGCCAAGTTTCTAGTAGATGATAAAAGTTGAAAACGTTGAACTAAAAACAGTAGGATAAAGAGATTCTCCCTTTTTGAAGTGGTGGGCAATGCTCAAAAACATTATTTTTTTCATTATCATTCTTCTATTCATGTTCAACCACACATTCTTTAATAAAATAATATTTTTCATCACATCAATAATTTTTCCTTCTTTTTCAATCACGTAATCCCCATCACATCAACCAAAAAAAATGCATTCTTGGAGCAAAAATGTGCACCAAACAGGGGCTTAGTCCCTGTTTAACAACCATTATTTGGAGAAAATAGAGTTTTGAATAATGATTTTTAGGAAAATGTGCGGTTAAAAAGTAGGAAAACTTTAGGTTTAGGTGCAGAATATTTTGTTGTATAAATGTGTAGTTGAAAAAAAACGTTTTCAAATAATAGTTGTCAAATAAGGGCTTAGTGCATGAACGGTTCTCTTAAAATTGCAGTGTTTCGTTGATTAGACATTTGTTCGTTGGATCAAAGAGGTCTCGGGTGATTGATTATGGAAGTAAAACAGAAGTTCAATTTGTTGTAGGATGGATCACAGAGTATATATTATGATCAAGCATTGGCCTTGAAAAGGAAAAACGAGATAATAATTACTATGATGTATCATGCTTGAACATCAAAAAATCTTGTATCAAGAATTTGAAAAGGTTGATCTTTTATTAATGTGCCATGTTTGATTGATCCAAATAATTTAGAAATTATTTGTTACATAATATAAAGAAGGATAGTGCAAAATATCACAATCTTGACAGTAAGGTTCTTCCTTACCATAAAACTATAAGCCCTAATGATGGTGCCTTGGTTATGTACTAATCTGAATAAAAAATAAATAAATAGAGTTGCTTTCTTTTAAGTTTTTTTTCTTTCAAGAAAACTTTATAATGTCCTAATGATGATGACTTAGTTACAAACTAATCTGAATAACAAAAATTATTAGAGTTGTTTTCCTTTATAATTTTTTTCTAAAAGATGATGTCATTCGTCAATATTGTACAATTTTAACCTAAGAACACAATTTTTGAAATCAGCCAAATTATGAAGAAATAAACTCGCAAAATTTTATTAATGTAAGATGATAAAAAAAATGATGAATTAATATTTTATTTATAAGGGTTTATATGAAAACCTAGTTTAAAAAAACCACAATTACAAAGAATTTGAAATAAATTAAATGACAAAAATAGCACTAAAACTTTAAAAGCATTTTCGACTTCTAAACGAACTCGGATGGCTAAAATCCATCATATATCAAGGTGAAGCCGTGAGTTCTACTCCCCTCATTGTTCTCTTTTCGAAATGGTATTATGAACCTAAACTGGAGCTCAAACGCCATACCTGCACTTACCTTTTTCCTTTTTCGATCTAATTTTTCAATTCATTCAACCATATGTTCTACATCACTTTACTTCTCAACTTTTCATTTTTGTATCAATTTGAGACAACTCAGACGATTTTACGGACTTGCATTACTTATATTATCGTAACAGTATTATTTTTACCCTCTCTCAGACTCTCACCGTCAATATTAGTTATGGATCCCACGAAATGTGTGATTAAAATTAATAGTTGTCATTGACTTGAATTTTAATCCAGATTTTTAGTTGAATCATTATGGGGCTTTATAAATTCGCAACATTGACAATGTTAAATTCTGTAGTGTCATTTGTCAATGGACGATGAATGAGCATTAATCCCCTATAGATTCTTTCGTGCCTCGTCTTACTTGCAGAAGTTACAAACACATATTTACTCGGTGCACATGAAATGAATGTGTAAAGCACCGAGCATTTGATCGAGTTTGAGACATCTATCATGTACCTTTTTTACAAGGGTTGATGTCTAAGCTTGTAAATCTGAAGATTAGAGGTATCCAGGCTAGGATCAGGGGCGGATCCAGAACCCAACAAGCCGACGCGGCCACCAATGCTGGATCCGTCAAGAAAAAAAATTAATTAAGATTTATAAAAATAATTATGTGTGTGTGTGTGTGCGCGCGCGCGCGTGTGCGTGCATGTGTGATTGTACAATTTTTATTGAAATGGTGTGTAGATCATTTGGAAGAGAAGACGTCTTTCCACATGAAATACATGGGTTCGATTTCCTTCAACAAAAAGAAGTGTAGCTCATATGTAAGAATGGTCATTTTGTGCATTAGATGTATGAGCTTTTCTACTTTTTTGTTTAATTTTTCATTACAATAAATAATAACTAAACATTTATATATTATTAATTTTCATTTTCAAAATAATTTCTTTTAATAATTTATTTTGTTTCGTTTGAGTTCGTAAAAAACTTGAAACTCAATCGTATATGTATGATTGAAAAATGTATTTTTTTTTTCTTATTATTTTATATTTTATTGGATTATTTTTCAAATGTATATGACATTTTCATGTTTTAATGCATTTATATATTGATTGAAAAAATTTTAAAATTATTTAATTAAATATTAATAAACAATCTTATTATTGCGACTATCAACAACCGTCCTACCTAGCTTAATAGTTAATATCATGGAGCTAGGACATTTGTGCTATATATGCTGCACTCATCTCTCAAATCAAATCCGTGTCGATCGTGCATGCAAAGTTTAAGTTATGACATGCATTCGTAGCTGGGGTCGGGTTGTGTACAATTAACTATCAAATTCAGGTAAAATTCTTATACTTGAATAATTCAAAAGCTACAAACAAGACTAAGATTACAAGGCAGCAAAATTAGAATAGATGTATTTCAAATTAATAGCGTATAACTAGATCATTAAAACCACGTTAGGTACACGTATATGCTAACTACTTCATGATTAGATCGGACTCTAAAAAATAATCTAAAAATACTCACGACGACAAACAATAAAATCAGAAATTACTGGGTATTCAACATTAAAGGATTTTGACCTTCAATTTTACTCTATGCGCTTTTACATTAAAATGTTTGAAAGCTCAAGATTGGCTAACCAAGAGGGGGGTGAATTGGTTTTTAATACTTTTTCGTTAACTACTCAAGATTTTAAACTAATGATCACACAAATGATAAAGATATAAACTAAACGAAAATAAGCACGTAGATGAAATGATATAAGCTTGCACAAAGTAAAACGTTAAGTAAAAGGGATAGAGAATGCAAACGATATGTTATGGAGGTTCGAGTCAATGCAATGATCTACGTCTCCCGTTACCAAGCT